ATGAAAATTTCCTCGCTTCGCTCGCAAAACCAATCTCACGCTGCTCCGTTCCTTCAAGTACACACCACAGTACTTGGGATTAAATATAAGTGAGTCGCCACGTACTCACGTTCGTACTGTTTGGCTATACACCGGAAAACACCTAATTTAAAAATAATTTTAAAAGCTCAAAAAAATTAGTGGTTTGGGGTTATAAAAGGGGGTGGAACGGAGTAAAAGGGGGTAAAACGGAGTAAAAGGGGGTTTCGAAAGGGGGCTTGCATACCCGTCCGGAAAAAGTCTTGGCGCCACTGGCAATAACCCGCCCTGGGCCACTGTAAAGGTCCCACATGGGACCTCTGAAGGCACCAGTCGAAGCAGGGATCAGCGCTCGGGCACCTTTGGAGGCACCAAACAGGGGTACCGGCGGGACCTCCAAAGGTTCCATTGCACAAAAAGACCATTAAAGGTATCAGAGCAGACGTTTTTCACCTCCAGAGGTCCCAAATTGGGAACTATAAAGGCACCACTAGTAAAGGGTCCGCGCGCAGCACCATTTAAGCCATAACAGTGTGTACCCCCTGCACATAGGGGGTTCAAATAACCTAGGCGATTCGTACCCCCAGGTACAAATCGCCTAGTTAATAGGTACCCTCGAGGGGTACCCAACTCACCAAAAACGCGTACGAAGACTGGAAATAGGACTGACTGTAGCTGATTGTAAAATATTGGTGTGACTTTAAAAAACTGCTGGAGACTGTACGCAAGGACACGATTGGAAATGATTGGAGGTGACTGGAGGTGATTGTAAGTGTGACTGGAGGTGACTGGAGGTGACTGGAGGTGATTATAGACGTGACTGGAAGAGACCATAGAGGTGACTGGAGAGGCTTCGGTATGAATGTGACTGGATGACTGTATGTGACTGGAGGTGACTGTGACTGACTGGAGGTGACTGAGAGTGACTGTAAGTGACTGGAGGTAATCACGGACGTGACTGGAAGAGACCATAGAGGTGACTGGAGAGGCTTCAGTATGAATGTGACTGGATGACTGCAAGTGATTGGAGATGACAGGAGATGATTCGAGGTGACTGGAGGTGATTGGAGGTGACTGGAGGTGTGACTGGAGGTGATTGTAGCTGACTGGAGCTGACTGGAGGTGATTGTAAAGATTGGAGAGACTGTAGACAGACTGGAACAGACTGGGAAGATTGGAGTTGATTGTGAATGATTATAATTTGATTATTTTGCCAAGTGTACAAAGACTGGACCAAGTTAGATACCCCTCGGGTACCCTCTTGGCGTGGGGGGGGGACAAATCGCCTAGGCGTACTGTACCCCCTGTACCTAGGGGGTACAGATAACCTAGGCGATTCGTACCCCCAGGTACAAATCGCCTAGTTAATTTGTACCCTCTTGGCATAGGGGGGTACAAATCGCCTAGGCGTACTGTACCCCCTGTACCTAGGGGGTACGAATCGCCTAGGCGAACTGTACCCCCCTGTACCTAGGGGGTACAAATAACCTAGGCGATTCGTACCCCCAGGTACAAATCGTACCCCCAGGTACAAATCGCCTAGTTAATTTGTACCCTCTTGGCATAGGGGGGTACAAATCACCTAGGCGTACCTTACCCCCTGTACCTAGGGGGTACAAATCGCCCAGGCGAACTGTACCCTCTTCTACCGAGGGGGGTACAAATCGCCTAGGAGATTTGTACCCCCCTGTCGACCATTAGGTACAAATATACTAGGCGATTTGTACCCGGGGGTACAAATCGCCTAGGTGATTTGTACCCCCTTGGCGTAGGGGGGTACAAATCTCCCAGGTGATTTTCAATTTATTCCTTGTCGTAATTTCAGTGGCTTTAAGTACAGGACATGAAGTGGTTGTGGAGTGACACATTTCAAACTAAAGAGTAGCGAAAAAGTTGTGCAAGACCTAAGTCTTGTGTTTCTCAAACATACAAAAAGTGCTGTTTTTTTACTGTTTTACTCGTTGTTTTACTCGTTGTTTTCTCGAGCTCAAAAAACTTGTAGTTTTAGAACTATATAGAGTGCTGGCTAGCCCAGTGTGTATTTATGTCTTTGCTCTCTCAATAGGGTGCCATACGGAGCGAGAGAGAAAGACATACAGGGGCCGTAAAGGGGCACTATGTTCTTTATGGCAGAAAGCAAAGACAATGAGAGTGATTTTTTTTATTAACACGTGGTTTTGTTAGAGTCAATGTTGGGCCGTCGAGCAAGACATCACACTCTTAAGTAAAATAACACATACGACTGCTCTTTGTTAAGTTCTCGTATGGATAAAACATTTACCTGAAAAGTCATAAGAAGTTCATCGATTAAAACGGTCCAAGATAAAATTAAATTGTTGTTGTGACTATATGTATAATCTTACCTCAGCATCATTAAAATTCAAAAACTTTCAATTAATTTTAATAGTGGCTGTATAATGCCCACCTGACTCCAAAGATTTGTAGTTCACTGACCCCAGTAGGGTATACGAATTGTTTTGCACTTTAATGTTCAGGGTTTGACGGACAATGTTTGTCAAAGTTTGGCCACTTTCTCCGAATCTATAATATGGAGTGTGTTCATTAGGCCAAGTAAGTAATACCCCCGATTATCACCCGAAAAAAAAAAATCACTCTTACATCCGCAGAGTAAGAACACCTAACACTTGCACTGGAAATCCGAGTGTACGAAAGTCGCACACCTGCAGGTGAGTGAAAAAATTCACACGCTTGTAGGCGAGCGACAAAATATTCACACACCTGTAGGTGTTGCGTCAAAATATTCACACTCTTGTATGTGAGCGGATAGAGTTTCGTGCACTTGGAAACGTACCCATTTACTCGCCCCAAGTGTGTGAATGGTCATTCACACATCTGAAGGTGTGCGACGTTCGTACACTTGGGTTTCCAGAGTGTGTACAGAGCTACAAATTTGAACACTTGTAAGTGTAAAACAACGGAGTTGAGCACTCGCAAGTATTCGACTAATAGTTTCACACTTACAAGTATTAAGCAGCAGCACACTTAGTTTA